AATGATGGAGTTGGTAACCTGACTTATCAAAGTATAGGGGATACTCTTTTGTGGAGTCATCAAAGATACACTGGGAGATCCTATTTGTTCTTGTGGTACTCCTTGCAGTTCTTACTTAACTCCTGTATTATTCTGTTTCCTTCACAGAAACAACTGCTGTTTACCATAATGCTGAGTTTACAACCTCTTTTTATTGTAACATTTGTGATGTGTTGCTCTACTTGATATTTGTTACACATATGATATTTGAAAAGTAATTATGAGCCGAGCTTTTGTTTGCTGTCATTAGTGTTGTTGCCATGAGATACATTTAGAGCACCCAGTTTATGGAACACAATTCCTCCTTCACAGTGGGTGTGACTATTCTGAAAAGAATAGATTATACTTTGAGCTGAAAAATGACTCCTTTGGGCTGAAGCTGTCTTGATGATACCTTTTCTTCTCACTGAGTCGATAAAGATGAAGGGGACCATTCTGTTGGTTAAAGTAGTTTATTGGAGAATTTTTAAAAACCCAGTCGTTCTATTTGTATCGTGGTTATGAAACAGTTTGTGGACTCAAATAAATTTTGCCATACATACCATGGTTACTCACAGCTTCAAATAAAACATTTTATTATGAGGATGCTTTTCTACTTCGAAAGATTGGCTGGACTCTAGAGGAAAGCATGGGTAGAGCCCTTTGCCCTATATTTATGCTCTTTTCTAACCATGACACTCTGGCACGAGGCTCTTCCCCAACAACACAATTCAGCTTCATGTTTTTAACCACTTAGATATTTAATCATTTACCTGTCTGTAGTAGATTGCAATGCGGTTTTAGTAGGCACAGTGGTTGATCTAGTTGCCTTTTTTCTATTCCCTTTGAGAGCATCTGTGTGCCCAGGTGACACTGAGAGGCTTTTCTTAGTTCTTTTCGTGTGGGCCTTTTCTTCCAAACCCCATGTCACCCTTTAAGTTATCCTGGGTGGATTGAGTGATGATTTTATTGCAAATCAAGAATGGGGAGAAATGAAAAGAGAGAAGCTGGGTGGAAAAGGTAAAAGCAGCTCATCTATCGGAGGAGCTTCGGAAATGAGAACCTTGGATGAATTTCTGGTGCTATTGATTGGTAAACAGTTTATACATCCTGACATTCATAATGTTGGTATGCTGCTGATAGTCCAGATTAATGGACCCAGGGGCTGTCCATCCGTCACTTCCCATTAATTACTAGAGAGGTGTTTTTTCCAGTGATTTACCTGACAGCGAGCCATGATGAATAACCCTAAACCAAGTGGGCAGTGATTAATCATGAGGCCACACCCTTCTCCAACTCTTCCTTCGCCTTTACCACAGGACAAACCCTGAAACCATCTGTCTCCATAATCGTGACCTGATGCATATTTATAGGGGCCCGGGGTCTGGCAGAGAGTAGCCTGGTTGTTTGTGCCAAAGCTTATGAAAAATAAATATCCCCCGCAGAAGGGGGCTGAAAGTACCTGGGGCCATAGGATAGTGGTTAGGTTTCAGGTTGAGGGGGGATTCAATAAGAATAAGCAAATATATCTGTTTCGGTCTTGGAAGGGAAATATGGATTTGTGATGAAGGGAGATTATACCTTGCAGTTTTTCTTGGCTTTGAATCATGAGAAAACTTTTAAACTTAAAAACAAGGAGCCGAGAGTGGTAAGCTAGCCTTGCCATAATCTGCTGCATATGCAAATTTGGCCATTCATCCATGGTTAAACTAATCAAGGAGAGAACCAACCTAGAATTAAGGAGAAATTTCCTAATAGTTAGGAGAATTAATCAGTGGAATGCCTTGCTTCCAGAATTGGTGCGTGCTCCAACACTGGGAGTTTTTAAGAAGAGATTGGAATCTCTTGGATTGGAAATGTAAAGAGATTTTCTTTATATTTCCAATACTTTGGGAATCCTCAAAGCATTTATATTGAATTCTCTGCTAAAGCATATCCAGAGTTCTTTGTTCTCTTCCTTGTTTGAAAATGGGTTTGATCCAGTACAGGAAATGCCAACTGGTACTCTTATAGATAGCTGGCAAATGAACAAGAGTCTGTGTGGGTGTACACTTTATGAGGGGTGCATTTCTAACATTTGTGGATATTTCTGAATCTCTTCAGATGTAAGGGAAGGAATAGTAGAAATGGGGGGGTGGAGTCAAAAGAGGAATCAGCCTAAAGTCGCTATGTAGCCACAAACAGACTAAGTTCAACCCCTCTTGAACTCCATTGACTCTTATCTACTGCCAAAATGTTACTAATTGGTAGTTGAGTAGATTCTTGTGCATAGGCATGAATAGTAATAAATCAGTTTAATTGGAACGTCATGTGTGAACCTGGTCTTTTTCATCTGCCATCATGTCATTTTACGTTGGTATGGCTGGGATGAACTAAGGTAAGCTTAGACCACCACCACCACCTATTTACTTTGAACTTTGTCAACAAAATGAGTTCAAGGGTAATTGTATCCTAGTTAATATTGGTATCCATTGGTCTTTCCAAGCAGTTCAACAAACAAGGTTTCGTTTATTTTATTAATTCTTCACTATTCTCTAAAGAGCGTCAACTCTTTCTTGGAGGACTGATTGGGTTGGGTTAGGAAACGTCCCCGTTTTGACTGGGTTATGGTGTTCACATAACCAAGCCCTGTGTCATATAGGGGTTTATAGGTGATAAACCAACACCTTGAATTGCTTAAAC